ATAAACAATATTAAATAACAATATACACATTAGATTGAATCTGAATTGCTCATAAACAAGTTTGAAATGCCCCAGCCTTCTCCACCATAATATCTGTAAGGAATCTGCTTGGGTCTGATCAATGGGGAATTTGCATGTCATAATTAATAATTAATAACTAATAATTATTCATACAGATTTGGATCAGCCCGGTCTTACCTGTTAATAAATCTCCCATTAAGGGAGGCTTTGTCATTTTACCTGCGCAGGTGTATCCCCACAATTAATCACAAATGAATTGTAACTAATTATACAGACCACGTTTTACAAGACAGGTAAAATTAATTAGCTCAATTAATTTATAGAGTTGTGAAAACAAATTCTGTGGCCACAAGAATTAGCTTTCTTGCTCTATAAAGTTTACACATACCCGTCTGAGGTATTTCTGTAAAGAGCACGTAACGTTATCGAAGCATATCAGTGACTTGGGTTATGAGCAACAGGCAATGAGTCAATCAAAAGGATATAATGTATTTAATGAAGCTGAACTACTTAAGCATTTTCTACAATGATACATGTATTTACAAACATTAAACACAAACTAAGACGACGCGGGGCGTTTAGACAATTGGTATGTAAACACGAGTTGGAGAGAGAGAGAGAAAGGGAGAAAGTTGGTGAGAGAGCGAGGGAGAGAGACAGAGCTGGTAAATTGTAAACCTCGACATCAACCTTCTAAAACAACACGAAAACACCATTGTAAGGCTTCTTAGAAGCTGTAACGGGAATGATACTTGCAAGGAATATGAGTTCTGTGTGTGTCGCGGGCTCCTTGCGCGGTCCGGTCGGCCCGCATGTTGAACGAAGGTCCTGTCCTGCTTGCGCGCGTCGTGTGGAGCGCAGCCGCAGCGTTTTTGCACGGCCCGTCCCGGCGCGTGCATGGTTGGCCGCTTGCGCGTGGCCCCTTTGTTCCATGGGGGATCACGTGGCGTTCGTTGGCATTCGGCGCGAGTGTTTGAAAGGCTTAAAGTCTTTGAGGTGACGTTACCCGAGGAAATAGTTCGGCAAAGTCCATTTCCTTTCCTGGGAGACGAACTCGGGAGTAAGTTAAAGAAGAGACGAACTTTAGACGAACAAAAGAAAAGATCCATGGTGGGATCAGATCTCCATGAGGAGATCGCTTGCATCACATGTTTCTCTGAGACGGTCAGACTGCAAGAGGACGTCCAGAGGGAGGTTCAGTCCTCTTTAGGGGAACTGGAGTCCACACCTCTGAGGTGCGAAATGGCCAATGACATTCAACAGAACTTTTGGCGGCCAAATTCTCTTTGTCTTGTCAAAGTTGAACTATGGCCGTGTCCGCCTCTTTTATGACCAGTCAGAATTTGTCAGAATCATTCCACAAGATGATAAAAACATAGAAAACATACATTTTACTGTAATCTTCTGTATCTGACCAAATCAGTTGGAACGAGATAGTTAAAACGGTACCAAACACAACATTTACACATAATTGGAATATGAAGATACATCTTAATACATAATACACACTCTCAAGAGTTTCACTGATACGCTAGGAGATCATTTCTAAACTACCATGGACTGGGAAACACACAGACATACAGGAATATATCGTATACAATTGGTAATGGCTCGTTTTATGCGTGTAATGTGTCAGAGTTCTGTTATCTCTCTTGCAGAGATGGGGGAAGGGCAAGGAATGTCTCAAGCATTTTATGACTCTGGCCATTCCTGAGACAGAGTGTGTGTGTGTGTGTGTTGCATTCAGTCTTTTTGGGTCTTTAGCAAGATGTATTTAGTTATTCAGATTCACCCTTTTTGCCCAGTCCTTACAGATGTATTACAATTTAAAATAACTGTTTTCTATTTGAATTTATTTTAAAATGTCATTTATTCCTGTGATGGTAAAGCTGAATTTTCAGCATCATTACTCCAGTCTTCAGTGTCACATGATCCTTCAGAAATCATTCTAATGCTGCATTTGAATGAGCTGATTTGCGCAAGATATATTTCTTATTATCAGTTTAAAAAAGTTGTGCTGCTTAATATTCTTTTTATGAATAGAAAGTTCAAAAGAACAGCATTTATTTGAAATCGAAATCTTTTGTAACATTATAACTGTTAGTTTCATGCATTCTTGTTGAATAAAAGTATTAATTGCTTAAAAAAAATACACCATCACACCGCCCAGCCCTATTAGTACACTGTAAATGTGTTGTTTTTCACCCTTCACTTCTTTGTGATTTAATACGTCTGTGTAGGATTGTTGTTCCTGTAGAGCAACTCCCATAACAGATGGTTAACGTACTGGAGAATTAAAGTTGGCACTATGACCAAATGTGGGGTCATGGACTATATAAATCAGTCAACCTCTGCTTATTGTCATGATGCAGCAAGGACGAAGCAGAGAGAGAATCCAAATGCAGCTAGTTTAATAAAATAACAGGTGAAACAAAGGAACACGGAACTCAGGACAGGAACAGTGAAGCAACAACAACGACCGACAAACCACAACTGAAATACAGTGGTATAAATAGACAGGCAAACAAGCTAAACAAGATAACAAGGGGGCGTGGCTAATCAGAAACACATGGGAACAATGATCAGACAATTAACAAGACACATGGCAAACAGGGAATCACATGCCAGACAAGAACAAGGAACAAGACACAAAACCCACACCGTGACATAGCCCCTCCCCTATAGGCGGCTCCCGACGCCCCTTAGTTCAAAAAAAAAATAGTTCAGGAGGGTGGTGAAGCGGAGGTGGTCTTGGGGGAGGGAAGGAGGGTCAAGTCTGTGCAGGGGGCAAGGCAGTTCAGGGGGCCAGGGCGGTGACAGTCTATCGGGCGGCCAGGGCGGAGACGACGACTCCTCGGGCGGCCAGGGCGGAGACGACGACTCCTCGGGCGGCCAGGGCGGAGACGACGACTCCTCGGGCGGCCAGGGCGGAGACGACGACTCCTCGGGCGGCCAGGGCGGAGACGACGACTCCTCGGGCGGCCAGGGCGGAGACGACGACTCCTCGGGCGGCCAGGGCGGAGACGACGACTCCTCGGGCGGCCAGGGCGGAGACGACGACTCCTCGGGCGGCCAGGGCGGCGAAGACACCGGCTCAGGAACAGACGACACCGGCTCAGGAACAGACGACACCGGCTCAGGAACAGACGACACACTCACTGGCTCAGGGGAAGTGACGTGAACAGTCTCCGGATCAGCCATCTTGTCCGTAGACCCTGGCTCGGAGGAAGTGACGTGGACAGTCTCTGGCTGTGCAGACGTGACGTGGACAGCCTCTGGCTCGGCAGGCGTGACGTGAAGGTCTGGCTCGCCAGGCGTGACGTGAAGCGAGGGCTCTGGACTGTACAGAACCAGTGATGAAGGCGGTTCTGTACTGGACTGGACCAATGGCGAAGAGGGCTTTGAGCTGGACAGGTCCCGCGGCGAAGACGGCTCTGGACTGGATAGGACCAGCGGCGAGGGCTCTGGGCTGGACGAGACCAGGGGTGAAGAGGCCTTGGTGCTGGACGGAACCAGCGGCGAAGAAGGCTTGGTGCTGGACGGAACCAGCGGTGAAAAGGGCTTTGCGCTGGACGGAACCAGCGGTGAAGACTTTAAGCTGGGCGGGACCAGCGGCAAAGAAGGCTCTTGCCTGGACGGGACCAGTGGCAAAGAGGGCTTTGGGCTGGACGGGACCAGCGGCGAAGAAGGCTCTTGCCTGGACGGGACCAGTGGCGAAGAGGGCTTTGGACTGGACGGGACCAGCGGCGAAGAGAGCTTTGGACTGGACGAATGGGCCATGATCGCTGTGTGTGTAGCCCACACACACAAGATCGCCGTAATTAGCACTGTATCTTCCAGAGCTGGCTGGACGGTCTCGGGCTGGACGTGGCCGACGTGAAGCTCTGGCTGGACGTGGCTGACGTGAAGCTCTGGCTGGACGTGGCTGGACGGAACCAGTGGCGAATGGGGCCCTGAGCTGGACATCACCAACCCAGGGTCGAAGAGGGGCCAGAGTGGAGAGTGGTGTCGGAACTCCTCTTGACCACCTCCTCTACTGCCGCCTCCACGGGTCCCGCGAAATTTTACCAACCGGGTCCCCTTAAAAGATTGTCCTCTCTCCCGCTCGGTGGCTGGGGAAGAGACACTGGCGAACATACTGCTGGATTCAGTGTTGGTCGGTCGTTTTGTCATGATGCAGCAAGGACGAAGCAGAGAGAGAATCCAAATGCAGCTAGTTTAATAAAATAACAGGTGAAACAAAGTAACACGGAACTCAGGACAGGAACAGTGAAGCAACAACAACGACCGACAAACCACAACTTAAACACAGTGGTATAAATAGACAGGCAAACAAGCTAAACAAGATAACAAGGGGGCGTGGTTAATCAGAAACACATGGGAACAATGATCAGACAATTAACAAGACACATGGCAAACAGGGAATCACATGACAGACAAGAACAAGGAATAAGACACAAAACCCACACCGTGACACTTATAATTATAGGTTACATGACAGTATCATGTTTTTTTGTCAGGTTTGATATCAAACTTGATTAAAAGCAATATACCATCTCATATAAATAAAACTTTACATATCCCTAAAGTTATGATGTAGAAATATCATGCTTGTAAAATAAAAGTTTGGTACTACCTCATCGAAAATATATATTTTTTTACATAATTGTTTATAAAAACCTGCTTGTAAAAACCTTAAAACATTTTGACTCAATCTGGAGATAAACGGTACTTTTTAAAAATGTAAAGTTGGTATGATTTTTTAAATGTTTTTGAAAGAAGCCTCTTATACTCACCAAGGCTAAATTTTTTTGGTCAAAAATACAGTAAAAACTGTAATATTGTGAACAATTCTTACAATTTAAAATAAATGCTCTTTTATGATAAAATGTAATTTATTCCTGTGATGGTAAAGCTGAATTTTCAGCATCATTACTCCAGTCTTCAGTGTCACATGATCCTTGTTGTTTGTTTTCCAGGTCTGGGTAAAACCATATTTCCCCGGCTTGAGGGTCTCGTGAGAACGGCTGGCCTTCTGTACTTCCGTGTCTTTAAACACCAGACGGTTGACTACTTCAACTCGGCTATCAGTATTTTCTGGAACACTCCTGTGATGGCACCTGCTCTCTTCTTTTACGCTGAGAACGATGCAATGTGCGATTACAAGAGCTTGGAGAAGAAGGTGGAGTTATGGAGGAATCGAGGCCTATCTGTCGAAATCAAGAAGTGGAAAGAGTCTATTCATGCAGGTCATCTGCGCACACATCCTCAGGAATACCTGGCCACCCTAGAGAACTTTGTGATGTCTCTCAACATGGTGCCTCTAAAGGCCAAAATGTGAACTCTGAACTGCCATCACCTGCCTCATTAAACATCAGAAATAGCCTGAAGTGCCTGGTTTGACTGTTATATAGACATTCTCTTTAGTTTAAGGTAACAAAATTTGCTTGTTTCTCAAACCTCTTCAGTCTGTTGAAATATTTATGTGACTACATTTAATGAAGACCATAACACTGGCATGTTGAGGATGTGTAATACCACATGCAATCTATTGATATGTGACCAATTTGGTTTGTTGTAATACAATGTGAAGCTCCTGTACTTCGGACCTCAAAATTATTATCTTGAAATACACAACTGTATATCATTATTTTGCTGTAGATATTTATGATAAACAGTAAAAGGTTTAAGAGACCTTTTGCATGTAATGAGTCGTAGCTTATATGACAACTTGACTGAACTTTTAACATCTATAGTATGTTTATTTGAATACACTGACTGTCCATCTTGGATCATTGATCTGTTTGCTTCAAAGGGAAACAGCCTGCTCTTTCAGTTTTCTTTGACTAATTATTTGTTTTCAAATAAAAAAATGACCTAGCTATATCAAATTTGCTACTAAATCTGAATTGAGTGTATATATCATTTGACACAATCCTGGTAAACCTATGCATTGTTGTTTTTTCTAGCAAAGACGCGTGAATAATATAAAGGTTGTGTTCAGGTACCTATACTGAAAATACGGTGAATACAAGTAAAGTCGGACACTTAGGTTTTTGTGTTACATATTTCTGTACTTTTACTCTGTATAGTGTAATGGAGATATTTACCTTTTTAAAATGATATTGTGTGCATGCCTAAGCCATTTGGTATATTTTAAAGCAACGTCCATGACAAATCATCAAAATGTCCTGTTTTACCTGTATTCGCCTTGTTTATCAGTGCAATAATGAAAGTTTTTACTTTTTTTGTTTAAAATCAAATAAATAAATCATTCTGATTAATAATGTATTTTTTTTGTTTGGTGTAGAAGTCTCACAAAAGGGTTGTTTAAGCTGAAACATAATACACAGGCTGCATCCGAAAGCACATACTTCCCTACTATATACAGAGCTGAAAAACAGTATGTGACAAAAGTTGCGCAGTAATTCACAGTACTCAATCTCTGGTGAGTTTATGAAGTGTGCATATGATGGAGACTTTACTATCCCATGAGCCCATGGAAGAGGATTTATGAATAGCATTGAAGATGATCATTTCTGACTAGTTAGAGCAGGGGTGTCCAATCCCAAACCCCAATTAAACACACCTGAACCTTAATCAAGGTCACAGGTGTGTTGAGGCATGTTGGAGCTAAACTCTGCAGGACAGTGACCCTCCAGGACCATGTTTGGACACTCCTAAATTAGAGAACCCATCTGGGCCACTAGCCCCGTCCGTTTCATTCATGCTAATAGCCATTTTCACTTTATGAATTAAAATGTTAGATTTGCAAGTTACCCATCACATTTTTTTCCTGTAATTTCCCATAACAAAATAACCTCATGACCATTTCCTCTAACAATGTTTTCCTATGTCCCATTAAAAGATAAAATATATGTAAAATAACTCGCTTTGTGCTGCTTCGGCCAGAGGCATGAGTGAATGTTATGCATCTGGAGAAATGTGAAAGGCCTTTCAGGCCTGATCATGAGTGCAGGAGGTTGGGTGGTTCAGAGATGATCCGCTCCTCATGACCAGAATCCCTCTCAGTCCCACCAGCAACATGGATGACTTCAGCACGCGCACCAATGGCGCAGACAACACGCTGTTTGGAGAGACTTTAACATGGGTGAGAGAAGCAGCTTTACTTGTTTAAAGTTCTGGTTGGCATGTTTTATTTTGTATATTCAAGAAAAAGTTGTTCCTTCGTTTTAAGTGTTTTTTTTAGCAGCGGTGAAGAAACATGATTTTTTAAAAGATAGGTTTTAATTGCTTTCTTGCTTAAGTTAGACAATCACATGAGCAGGTGTTACATTATGCAGCAGAATTAAAGGGATAAATGAGTATGCACAATATGAACAGGCCTATATGGAAAGATGTAGTAAAAATAAACTAGTTAAATTGACAACTTAAGCGCCTGTATTTGTTCATGTCAACTTTTGTTTTCTTTAAGCACACAGTTCTTAACCTGGCTATAGGTGGACTCGCTTCTCTGTTAGTCCTAGTGAGTATTGATGACTACACACAGACACACACACATGCGTTTGTATGGCTATCTTTGTGAGGACATTCATGCAATCCCTAGCCCTAACCTTCACAACTAAGTGCCTAACCTTAATTCTATCCTTAACCCTAAAACTAGCCCTTTAAAGGGGTGTCAGAACTCAGGAAGTGAAGACTGGCCAAACACTCACACTCCCTTATGTGGACTTTCCATAGACTTAATGGTTTTTATACAAACTGTATTCGATCTCCTAACCATATTCCTGCCCCATCACAGAAAACTTTCTGCATTTTTATAAGCTGTTCTCCTTGTGGGGACTAAAAAAAATGTCCAGCACATTTTGTATCCACAACGTAGGGTTTAACTAACACACACACACACAAAATCTGTTGCTCAATCAATGTTAAAAAACCCATTTTTTTCTTCTGCAATATTACACTATGGGAGTAGTGAAAAGCACATTTTCCTTAAGGTGTGCCTTTAGCCTCGTTGTAACACACACACACACACAGACTTTTCAGTAGTGTTTTGGCTATCTAAATCTTACATAATTAACTAAAGGACCCTTTTATTTATTTTTAAATGTTTTTATGGTGTTGGCCCTACATTTGCATCCAACTGCTAGTTGTACTCTATTTTTTCCTCTTTTTCAGGTAACTATCATCAGTTCATTTGTCTTCCCTACTCCTCCTCCAACAGCATTAAATATCTTCTTTGTTGTCTGCATCATCATGATCTGTACCTCTGTATTGGTGCTGGTAAGTTTATATATACAGTGTGTGTGTGTGTGTATATATGTGTATGTGTACATTATATTAATGTGTATTAATATGTGTATATAATTTATTAAAAATAAGTTTCTGTTTGTTGCAGATTTTCTGGTATCGTCAAGGTGATCTGGATGCAAAGTTCCGTGGTCTGATTTATTATTCCATTGGTCTCATTATCCTCCTCTGTCTGTGTGCCAATCTGTACTTCCATGATGTTGGAAGATGATATGATTCAGGCACACCACTCATACTGAGCACCTTCTTAATTCTCTCAAGCACAAAAGTTGTCAAATGAATATAAAAGGTAGTTTATCATGTCAGAAGGGATTGTTTTGATTGTGTACATAGGTGATCAGATGCATGTTCAAACATATCAGTTTATTTAAACAGTGCACCTTGTATTTTTATGCTGCATATTTGTGTTTATTATTTTCTGTTGCTGTCAAGAGTCATGCTAAATGCTGCAGTATTTCAGTATTAGGCCAACAATAAGTAGAATTTACTCAATTTTTATAAGGCAAGTTTTTGCACTGATATTTTTCAAGTAAATTTCACATTTATGGAAATTAAGTAAATCTACTTAACTAAGCCGAGAAAAATTAATAAAGTGAAAAAGTACATATAACTTGACCTGTTAAATTATATTGAGTAATTTTTACTTACAAATCTGATGTAATTAATATAATTAAGTAAAACTATTTGATATTTTAAATACATTTTACTTGTTTTATGCAGTGCTGGTAATTATTTTAAATTAAATGTTACTCTTATAATGTGACAAAATAATACAGTGACAATGTGCAGTTTAGAGTAATTTATTAAGAAATAAGCATCTAAAAGATCACTTTGGGCACACAATTCAGCTTGTTCGGTCTCTCTCTTTGTCCCTCTCAACCGGTTTACAGCAACGAAGGCACAAAGGACTGAATGCATTTGAGAAATATCCTGAAATTAAGAAAAGAGAAAAAATAAACAATAATCAGTAAACAAACAGCAAATACTTTTAAATTAAAAGTTAATCCATTTGCATTCACATTATTCATTTCACTCATGCCAAATCAAATTAAAAACATTCTGCATGACCTCACTCTCCTAGCCATTTCTTCACATTAATGCACACAGCATGCAGATACATTTATTTATCATGGCTACGAATTAGGAAACTTATGCCTAAGTTTCTAATTTTTCACTTGTCTTGATTTAAATAAGTTTTTTTTTTTACAACTAATTATTGTTATTTACAACGTGGTCACCATTTAGTAAAAGCAGGGATAATTTAATAGATAGTATGCACGATTTAGTAAATGAATGAGGGAATGAATATTGTGCACGAAGGGAACGAAAACCTGCTCACTTTTATGGTGTCTTTTACGCATCTACGGTTGAACATTCCGCTCGAGTTCAAATTTTTCAACTTGCGCGGAAGACGTTCGCGGCAAACGCGTCGCCCAATTTGCGATGCCCGGCGCGAATGATGCGTCTATTTGCGTCTTTGCATTGACTTTGTATGTAATCTAACGTTACTCGCTTAGCGTTCGGCCTATTGTTAATTCGTAGCCACGATATTTCTCATCTATAAAGAAAATTCCACACAAAATAACAAATTAAACGAAAAGATCATGATTTAAGTAACATATTCATGGTTTTTAGGCGTAATTTACTTGTGTAAAACGTAAAGTTTAAAACTGAGGAAAAAATAGGCCTATGGCAGGCTAACGCGTCCAAAGCTAACTTGTCATTAAGAACATTAAACTTTTCAAATGTATAGAATTAAGTGATGAAAACACAATGGCTGATCGTAGTTACATTTACTGAATAAATTACATCTAAAAATCCGTAATATAGGCCTACTGCAGTTTTTAACTGTTGCTTACCTGAGAGCAGATGGAGTGGAGATTGGAAATCCAAATTCCTCAATAACGTTTTCTTCTTTCCGCGCATGCGCAGATTCCTTTCTTCAATGACGTAAATTTTACTTGATTTTTTAAAAATTTGCTTCAAGTACTTAATTAATGCGTGTAAATATGCCAGAGAGTCAGAAGTCAAATTTACTTGTCTGTTGGATGTATAATATTTACAAGTAAAAATTGAGTATATAATTAGGATTTACTTAATATTCTAAAGGTTTCATTTTTACACAATTATTCTTAGCAAAGATACATGATTTTTCCTGTTTTATTTACTTTGCCATAAAATCATTTTTTACAGTGTATAAAATATTGTGATTTTTGTTCTGTGAACAGGTACTAAAGGACGTAGCCCTGACAATGAATAAAATATACACATGTACCATGAATGTTTTGTGGGTTGGAGTGGAGACCATGATTGACATGAGTCTGGTTTTGCTCTTCAAGAAGACCAACTGTTGAATGATTATGCAAAACCACTTTGAACCATCAAACCAAAGTTAGCATGCAATAATACAATTTATACCTACATTTTTGGACTTTTTCAACATCGGGATTTAAAGTAAATAATTATTTGATCGTTTAAGATAAAGTATATATTTTAGGTGCTGTGACAAGTTGTTAATTTTAGGTTTTCAACAATTTATAGCTGTTAAAATAAATACTCGGGTGTTATTCCTCATAGGCTAGTCTTAATTAATAGGCTATAAGATCATGGAAATGATATGCATAATTATACAAGACTTATTAGAAAATGCCGTTTAAAATCCTTTTAGATGCAGCATATCCCACATTACAGAACACCATTCCTAATTTCTTTAAAACGACTGCCATCTAGCGGTGTGCAGATAACAATTGCAAACTCTTTTAATTATTATTAGTGAATGTAAAAGTAACTTTTTGAATATTCATCTTGTTATCCGAGTTACAGATATTTTTATTATTGCATTTATACGATTATATGGTGTGCGAATTATACAATGAATTTGATGGTCACCCTCAAAGTACAGCTACAACCAGAGGTGTAGTGGTAAAAAAAGAGGTGGGTAAACTATAAATTCTGGTGGACCACGACGTTGACACCCGGTAAGGTGGGCCACTGCCTACCGGTGTATGCATAGGTGTATGTGTATCCTGATGACATTGCTATACGGAGGGCTCGACATTAAGCCTTTTCACTTGTAAAAATTGCTCGTCCGGATTTTTTTTTGTGTGTGTGTGTGTTAATTTATTCTGAAACAATATTCTCATTTATTCTGATTATTCTCATCAGTATTCAATCAGCTTTGATATTTAAATCGGGATATTGTAATATCTACACCTTTAAAGGGCATCCCCTCCCCCAATATTATTAAATGTATGCTTCATCTTTCATTTTAAATTCATAAATTTGATCAATACATTCAATTATTTAGAAAAATTCAGACATTATAGGGCTGTTACCCTAGGGGCTGATCAAATTAAACCATTTACACTGAAAAATTACAATTGCATAAAATAATGTTATGAAATTGATTTAAATTTACATATAAGAAACATTGGAAAGAAATTGAATGATCTACTGTTAAACATAACACTAAACCGCCAGTAGGTGGCGGCAGGCGACCATCATAATGAGATGTGTTGAAACAACGTTATATAACGTTTAATGCTAAATGGTTGAAAACCAACCGGTACATGACCCACCTTCAACGTTGAAATATGGTTGAAATAATTACAGTTGTTGTTTCAATGTTGAAACTACGTTGAAATAATGTTTAATGCTAAATGGTTGAAAATGGGTAAAAAAAAACCCACTCATAAATCAACTTTGATTTTTTTGTACAAGATCTAAATGTTGAATCAATTAATGTATGTACAGAATAAATAATTTCTGCCTTTTAAATTATCAATAAGATCATTATTATTATTTTATTATCATTTTACATTTTTATCATGAACCTTCTGATATAAATATTAGGCTTGTTTGAGATGCGCCTTGCCTCGCCTCGCCTGAAATGTAGTCGAGAGTAGGCGGCTGCAGTGAGAGGAGGAGTGAAAAAAGCGCAGGCAAGCCGGACAGATCGCTCTTCTCGCAGTGGATCTGACACCTGTGAGATCAAATAAGGCGGATATCGCGGGATTCACGGGATTCACACTCGTGCACGGTGTTGCTAATAAACTGGATGTATTTTAAGTTTTGTTGCTTGAATATGAAAATAAATATAATGAATAAGACACTCAAAGTACTTATTTAATTCCATTTTAAATAGGCCTATATGTTTATGAATCATTTTTTTTCTTTACAGATATGTGTTTTTATTTTTAATAAAAAAAAAAAAAATTACATCAAATAGATCGCACTGTCTGAGAGTTTGGGGATATCCACACATAATCTATACACATAAAACATGATATCAGAGTTTTAAAATCAAACATTTTAAAAGAGAACAATACATCACGGTTGTTTAAACCAATGAGCATTAAGCTGTGTCGTCAGCAAGTCGTTTCCCATCATGCTTTTGATCAGCGCAGTCGGTGGAGAGCAACTGCGCACGACTGCTGAATCCGACACGTGCGCCTTGCGGTCGCGAGACTTTTTTGACTCACGTCAGCATGACATCAGAGCAAGGCGGACCGCACTCGGACACATTTCTAACCGACATGCATCTCGCGCTGATCACCGGTGATCGGTTCTGCGCAGATTTTGCTCATCTCAAACAAGCCTAGTATAAAACATTGCGCTGCTTTACCTCACTGAAACAATTCCTATTGGTTATTTAACCTTATTTGCTTTGATCATGATTGGTTAATCTGTCTGTCATTCATGAAACTGGCCAATGAAACTGTGCGCGCCATTTTTAAGTTTGAAAATATGACCGTAGACGGGCTTTGATATGACCGTTATCCTGACCGTCTTAAGATCGCGAGAGACTGGCCAAGGGAAGAGCACGAAGGAAAGTGGTCTGCGAGGGCGCGGGATCAAAAAGGTAAGTCTGATTTCACAAATATACGCAAGGTCATGAGTTAAACGCATTATACACTCAATGTGAATTGTGCTAAAATACCTTATCTTCTCTGAAAAGTGTTCCGCACATTCAGCTGACATACTTTAAATAAACGAAAAACTATCCAAAACTATCTTGGGCAATGACAGAATTTTCATTTTTGGGTGAACTATCACTTTAAAGGAACACTCCGACTTTTGGGGACTTTAGCCTATTCACCTTATCCCCCAGAGTTAGATAAACTAAGGCGAAGCACTGCTACTTGGGCGGAGTGATAACCGCAGCACCCGAGACGCGCTCTCTCTCTGCTCCTCACCACGGCTCGTCTCAGG